TTCAGTTAACCACTCAGGGTGGGTTCCATCCATTAGTAGCTGGTTCATTTGTTCATCAAGTTAGCTTCTTTAACCAGTAGGCATGGATCATGTCAGGGCCCGGTGCTGTCCAGCCCTTCATACTTGAGACCCTCTCTTGAATGTCTGCCATTGTGATGATTACTGGGTCTTGTTCAGGGAGGTTGCTGTGGTCTGCTCTTAGGTCCACCAGCCACTGGGCATTGTTGTTATGTGATGCCTCCTTCTCCCATATGCTCTTCCAGAACTGTTCAGTCTCCAGCCTTGGTGGGTCTGCTCTCATGTTATTACCCTGCCACTGAGAGTACACCTTGGATGGATCAGTGGAGAACAGTCAGTTCATTCTCCTGGCTTCAACTTCTCTGGTGTATCTTCTTCAGCCGGATGACCAGGGCTGTGAGCCTTTGCTTGGCAGTCTCTAAGGCCTCAGGTATGGACAGTGAGTTGTACTTCTTAGGTACCCCTTTCTTCATCACACCTTTCTGCAATTCTGATAGCTGGCTAACTTCTCTCCTTTCTGCCTTGATCTTGGTCTCCAACCTCCTTCTCCATGGAGGATACTGCTCCTTTTGGTCTTTGTTGAACTTATAGCCAAGCATCTCAAGGATCACGGTTGCTGTGGTGTATACCAGCTTGTTGGTTTCAGTGATGGTCGTAGTAGGGATTGTTCTTAGTGCTGCATTCAATCCTCTAGTAGACTTTCAGAAGGCACTTCACTTAGTCTTGGTAACTGACCACAGGAGTTCCAGGTGTCCATCTTGCTCATGATCTTCAATCTCATCTCTAAATAATTCCAGTTGACTCTTTTTTATCAGCATTGTTGGAAATATGATCATCTTAATGATTAAACTTTACTGGGATTGTCAGTGGACCAAATGATTTGGTCTTCTGTGCTTATGTTTGGTATGTCCCCATATCATGACCAGCTGACAATCAAAAATGTAATAGTCTGTCTCTCAGTTACGGTGGCTCTGAGATCTCAAGACAAGAGGGCATGTGCAAATAGACAAAACATAAGCAAGACATTTTTCACCAATTTGACAAGACATGCAATTTTTAGAAATAGTGTTGAAAAAATCCAGAAAACGCACACAAACCAAAAACTTAGAGTACATGTTAGCTCATTTACATTGTTTTATTTTTAAAAAGATTCAATGATTTCCTCAATCTGGAGGAAATAGGAACACTGCAACGTATTAATCGATTTGTGTTTGTCTGTTTGTGTTCATGGTAGTGAAGGAGCATGACACTGAGTGCAACAGTGTGGCTCACTGATGTGCTTTTGTCTTTGGACAGCAGTGGAACTCTGTGGCACTGAGGAAGTAGCTATATCAGTATTTTGGATACACATACATTAGATACATTCAATGTTAATTTAGTTTTTCACATGCCTTGTGCTTTAAGGTACAAAAACAACAGCATATTATTAGTCTGACATACGCCCACCCTTCACCTCCCCTTCCCCCTTTACCCATCAGTGTTGAAGCAGGCCAGTCCAGTCACGTGGTAGTAGTCGACACGTGCCACACTGCAGTACACACACTGAATCAAAATGGACCCATTATGCTTGAATTATTCTGTCTCTGTCTCTCTCTCTCTCTCACACACACACATACACAAATACATGTGTAGTTGCTCCCCACCGCCACGCTGTGAGTGACATGGTGGCTATTATGAAGCTGTCATGCTGGTATAGGTAACAATGATTGCTTTTGTTTTCTGTGAATGAGCTGTTATCATGTCACTGTTACATTCCACAGTACGCTTTTTCTGGCTTTCTATTAATTGGATTGTTTATTTGTTCCAACTCCACAACAGGGCACCACTGTAGGAATCACCCAAGAATCGCACAGCAATACCTTAGAAGTAAAAACGATGCCAGTGTGAAAAGCTACAGAAAATGTATTCTTAAAATATTTGGTGTGTGACTATAAATAATATCTTTTTATAAAGGCAGTGGCGAGTAGTGGTGAATTGCATTGTACTACTGCATACTGTAAATGCTTAGGTCAATCAGGGACTGAAGGAGTTGATAAGGAAACAGGCTTTCTAGATGTATAATCTCAAGAGCTCACATCCATGGGGAATGAAACTGTTGATTTTGTCTTGTACTTGTACTGAAGTTTCTGGGTTGGAAATCCTGTCTACAGAGCCAAAGCTTTAAGCACTTTTGATGTTTAGACTATTATTCATCATGCAATATTGTCAGTGGGATGTCCACGCAATTCCAGATTCACTCTGCAGCATGACAACAACCCAAAACATACAACCAGAGTCAAAAATAACTATATTGGTCAAATAAATGACTTCTTTCACATTTGATCGTCTGTTTCTAGTCTCTCACTGCTGATTAGCTGAGCAGACTTCTCTTAAAGGGTTGTATCATCCCCACATGGTGCATACTCCTAAATAAGGGTTTATACAAACAGACGTCTAGAAACCACTGTGGTAACAGCTTATTATATATAAAATTATTGAAATGATTTGGATGGAGTGATTTTCACTGATTTTACCTGAGCTGTATGACAGGATTTGGTGTCATTAATGGCCTGTTCTCCTCTTATTGTCAAACTTTGAATGTATCTTGTCAAGCACACTATTGCAGTATTTAATCTGTATAATGTAATATGAAGTTCAAGCTAGGGTGCTGTAGCGTTTGACACTGCTAGTGTGGAGCTGTGTTCTTTGGAGAATTCACGTGATGGCTCTCCTTCCATCCCTCCATGCTATTGAAAGCCAAACTACAGGAGCTCTCTGCACACAAATAAAGGCCAGCCAATAAGCTGGAGCTCGTCCATCCTTCACTGATGTCCTACACTGCCCCCATGAGGGCAGCACCCACAACTTCTCTGATTCTAATGATGGCAGTGATGGCGATGTTACATTTTTCTGTGTTACGTGAGGTTTAGGATGGCTTCACTGTGCCGTGGCAGGTGGTGAATCTCTCTGCTGATTGCCCCCATCAACTGCATCTTATTATACTTTCTTCAGTAGCTGGGTATTGTTTCCATGTACATCCTTTTCACATGGCCCAGGTGGCTCTATGTGCTCTTTCATTATATCCACCCTTCTCTGTCCCTGTGATTTGTCACCACAGATACGTCCTCCATGGCAACAGCTGTAGGCAAGGCAGCCGAGGGTGTGATGCCTATGATGAGGCATGACAGCAAGTGTATTTTTAGGTTATCAGCCAGGTAGCCGCAAACTGGGAGTTCAGACACTTCAGAGGATGTTTCTGGAATGAGAGGAAGCACAAAACGTCTTTTGTGAAAGCTTCACATAAGTATGGAAGGAGGCTGCTGGTAGGGAATATTTTGTACCCGTTTTACTTTTTGTTTTGAACAGTCTTATTTGAGAACTCATTTAATCTTCATCATATACATCATTTCATATGAGAATGACTCCCACTGAACAATATTTAACTGTCAGAAACGGGCCAGTGACATGTATAATGACAGACTACACTATGCACATTCTGCACTCTGGTATGTTGTATGATGGATGGTGTTTGTGTGTCTCCAGCATTCACATTAGCCACCAACTGGGTGCTTGGACCTCTGGGTGTTCTGAAACTTCTGATAACAGTTCAACAGAGACTTTCAATAATCCCTAGTAGGTTGTTCAACAGTTAGTTGTACCAGTTGCTTGTAAGTTCAAACTTAACATAAATACTACAGTAAGTATAACATCAGTGTTATACTGCACCACACAAACCTGTTCTGTGCAGAGTTAAAGATGCAATACAGATTATTGTGCAGGTACTATTTGTAATGTGTTTCACTAATTTTCCAGTTGTGTCTGGAAAATATTTATAACTACAACTAGCCCCTCAGAAACGACTGTACCTATTTCAGAGCCTTTAGGTGCAGGTTTATGATTTATTAGTATAAATTACAATAATTAAAACTGTACTCTTTTGGATAATGTTATATCAAATGTAAAGTATGTGAAGAAATATCAACTTAGAGCTATAACTATATAATTGCCTAGTTGTAATGAACTTTGAGCCAAGGTCAGATTTGGTACCCATGTACTGTACACACAATATTAAGACAGTATTGTCAGTAAGTGGCTTTGGGAAGACGGGAAAGGTCTGGGGTCCCGGTCAATATAGCATCTCTGGAAATACATTATTTTGTTTTCCATGCTGACAGTTCCTGTGTTGTGTCTTTTTTTCGTTCGCCAATCCTCCTGGTTAGTCAGCTATTCACCTGTCCGTCCTGATCCTCCCACTCTCCTGGTTTCTGCCGTTAGTTTGTCTACTCCCCTGGTCGCCCTGGTCTCCTCCACCATCTCTGCACTACTTTGCTGGTTTCTGTACATGGACTCTGATACGTTTTGTTGTTACTGTGCATTTCCCACCATTAAACCTCCTTTTTTTTTAACTAGCACCTGGGTCGGCAATCTTGAGTCCAACCTCAGTTCTCCCTCACCCTCCTGGTGAGGGG